CACAATGGGAAAGTAAGTGCTACCAACATTCAGTATGCAGAAGCCAGAGATGCTGACAGATATCCTAGAAAGCACATATCTATCTACAACCTGTAATAAAGTCAACAGCGTTAAAGTTACAAAACCTTGATTAGAGCTAAATTCTGTAAGAATAGATGTAGGGGCAGACCATTAAGTTTTAGAACAGGACCTATGTTCTTGTTGACTCAGCAACTCCAGGTTCTAGCACAGTGCCAAATATGAACTTGGACTCAACAATTACTTGATGATTAAATGAGTGTGGTAGAACTGCAGGCAAGTAGTACCACAGCCTGGCCTGGAATATGGCTGTGGCAATGGTTATGGAGAACAGACTCAAAAGAGTAGAATAAAATGAATACTGAGTAGACTTAAGAAATAAGTTAAGTCTAAAGTAAAATGACTTCAGGCTTCAATCTTGAAATAACAAGTTTCAGAGAGACAATTTCTACTTTCGTTTGAGGCAAATGTAAGGTAATTCAAAGAAGGCAATCCAATGGTTTGCATATAGTATGAAAATATCCAAGAAGATTCAATTTGGCCCCCACCCTGATCTGAAGAAAAAAGAAAAAAAACAAAAAAAGGCAAACTCTTAAGCACAAAATATGCCGTTCTAGAGCTTGAAAATATAGTTAGGAAAAACTTGGGGATATATGAATAAGGTTTGCTGTTTAGGTAATGGTAGTTCTCCTATGTTCATTTAGTAGTTCTGAGAAATATACTGTGTAAAGTAAAAGTACATTAGAGGAATCCTGAGAGGAAGACATGAGTTCTCTGATTACTTGTGCAACTTTTCAGTAAGTTTATTACAAAACTGTAAGTTTATGTAACAACAAAAAACTATCCCAAATGTGTCAAAACTTTAATATTTGGGATCTACATATAGCAAATATTTAAATCTGTATTGTAAATTAAAATGTTAATTTTTTTCTTGCATCCCTTCCTACTTGGTAATGCCAAAATGACCACAGAAAGAGCAAAGAAAACTGAAAAGGTAGTTAGATGAAAAATGACAAAGAAAAACCAACAAAGGAAGCAAGTCAATACAACAAACATAAATTAAAGGAAAGCTTTCTGACCTCTAACACCTTGAAATGACACACTGCATCAGTATGCAGGAGGCTATCTTGAACAACCCAAATTTAGTATCTTAGCAGGATACAGAGTCAATACTCAAAAATCAATTGTGTTCCTCTATACCAGTAACAAACTCATCAAGAGAGAAATCAGAGAAACAACACCTTCATAATAGCATCAACAAATATGAAATACTTAGGAATTACTATAAGCAAGGAAATGAAAGACTTCTACACTAAAAACTACAGTAGTCTGAGAAGGAAGATCAAAGAGGGTATCAGAAAATGGAAAGATACCCCCTGTTCTTCGAAAGGCAGAAATATACAGTGAAAATGGCCATACTTCCAAAATTGTTATTCAGATTTAATACAATCCGTACACCAAAATACAAACTGCATTCCTCACAGACCTAGAAAAAAATGATCTTAAAATTCATTTGGAACCAGAAGAGACCTAGCATAGCAAAAGCAATTCTGGGGAACAAGAACAAGGTAGGGTATATCACAATCCCTAATTTGAAGTTATACAGCATGGCGGTGGGGGGACTAGAGGATCGATGGAACAGAAGAAGCAGAAACAACTCCAAACAAACTCAGTTATCTTACCTTTGGCAAAGGGGACAAAAAACTGGAAGAAAGATAACATCTTTAGTAAGCAGTGCTGGAAAAATTGGCTTTCCACACGGTAACGATTGAACCTATACTCGTACTTGTTACCATGCACTAAACTGAGGAGATCTAAACATTACAACAAGCAATCTGCTGGAAGACAGAATAGATGAAATTCTTAAAGACATTGGTCTGCACAAAAACTTTATGAGCAAAACTCTGACTGCACAGAAAGTATTACAAAGAATCAACAACTAGGATCACATCAAATTAAAAAGCTTTTATACAGCAAAAGAAACCACCAATAGGGTGAAGACAACCCCCAGATGGGAAAAGAAACTTTTACCATCTTTTCCTCAAGACTATCTAGAATATATAAAGAACTACTTAAAAAAAAAAAAAAAAAAAAATCAGCCCTCCCAAAGACTCAATCCAAGAAACAGGCATCTGAAATGAACAGATGCTTCTCAGATGAAGTACAAAAAGCAAATCAATAAATTAAAAAAAGTTCAACATCACCAGTCACTGGAGAAATGCCAATTAAAATACTCAGATTTCACCTCACTCTACAAAGAAAATGGAAACCAAGGTTTTATAAATTAGGAGGGAAAAAGGTTGGAGGGAAGAAAGAGGAAGGAGAAAAAAAGATATGATACAGTATGTACAGGTACCAATTCCCCATGATGAATGAATCTGACCATAACACATGGCAACTATGAACTAATAAAAAAAAACAACACAAAAAAGGAGACTGCTAAGTATTTTTCTCCGTCGCCTACTGTATTCATAACTTGATAAGACAAAATTATACAAAAACTGTACACCATGTGAATTCTCGTAAGAGATGACACTTATATGACTATACATCAACAGTTATTTTGCTCAGACCAGTTTCTCATTCACTTTAAAAAGTAAGAAATTGGCACTTTAGTATAGGTATTTCTCAGTATAAAAGTTTTACTGAAAATCTGAATGAAAGACAAAAAGAATTTTAAATCCTAACAATGAAATAGTCTTCTAAAAAGGTATAAACAATGAGCAGCTTGGTAATTAATTTTTACTACCTGAAAGAATCCATCACATTTATATGCTCCACACAAAAGCCTGTGTCCGTATTTATAGTTTTCCCTATATCCATGTAAGCAGTTTTCACTCATCTGATTATCAACGAGCTGAGTTAAAATACTTTATCTGATTTTATTGGTATCTGGCTATCTTTTTTCAAACATGGCTAACATCAATTCTGTTGAGCACATCAACTGCTAGAAAGTCTGGTTAGGAACAAAACACAGCACAATGGAGTCAAACAGTCCAGATTGAATCGCTGTTTCTTGTTTCACTGAATGACCAAACACTTCCATGCTTCAGTTTCCTTCCCTGAAAAACAACACTAGCTCCTCCCAACAGACCATTTAAAGCTTTAAAAGAGAACATGGAAAATGCTGAGAATAGTGTCTGATACATCGTAATTACTCACACAGCCAATGGTAAGAGAAACACTATTTATCATCAATTATGCTTACAGTTTTCACTGTACCCTAGGGGCTGCCTGACAATATGCTGAAAGGATAAGCACAACATATTCACCTCACTATATGGATCTGCAGTGTTTTAAAGACACGAGAAACTTTTCCCTACAGGAGAAAGTGCTTATAAAAAGCTGCCTTCCCCTTTTCATAGAAACTACTGTAACCCTCGGTGTAATTTTCTAAGTGCAAATATATCCTGGTGCCCCAACTCCTTTGTTTTAATGTGTGTTCACTATATCAAAATTACATACAGAAATTACTACTTAATCAGGACAACCATATATTTAAAAAAGTGTTCATTCACAACTACTTGAAAATGCAACTATCACGTAGGATACTTCTGGAAAATGGGTCAGAGGAAATGATCCAGAAGACATTACAGAAAGTCAAAGGATGTAAAACATCTGAGAGGGTAAGGAAGGATAAAATAAGAATGTGTTGTATTTGTTTAACTCAAGTTCTACAGGAGAAGGAATGGAGCAGGTAAGTTACTTTAAAAGATAAATGGCTAAAAATTGGAAGTTTCAGTGAAAGACTTCACAGATTCAAAAAGTATAATAAAGCTCAAACAAGGTTAATAAAAGACACTGACATAGTCAAATTTCAGAAAATCAAAGAGAAAGAAAAATTTTAAAAGCAATCAGAGAAAAAGGTAATTTCAGGTAGACGACAGATTAATAAAAATTTTGTCTTGAAATTCTTGTTCCTTGAATTTTTCTAGGTAACATATATGAATTTCACGCAAAAATTCAAAAACTGCAACCTTCAGCACAAATGGTTTAAAATCTACTTCTCTATGCTATTTTTAAAATATATGCAAAATAAAAGCATACAAAAAAGTTGAAAATAAAACCACACACAAACATTCAACAAAAGTTATACAGAACTGTATTGACTACCAGTGCAGTATCTAGAAAAGGAAAGAAGATTCAGAGTTTGCATAGAGGTGGAGGAACATTCCTATCTAGCCAGATGGCAGAAGCAGGTAAAGAGACCAAATTTAAAATATAAATGTCTCCAAAGTTTAGGTGTTGTCTTCATGGTCAATAAAGTTCAGCACCATTAAAATACTATAATCAACCTCTTTATGTTCCCTTGAGCCAAGCAGCAACACAGCAATGACATAAAGTAGAGCTACACAGTATATTAAAAAAGAGAAGGCAGAGGACAACAAGCCAAGAGGTCTAGTTCAGAGGATGCTCTACAAGTCTGGTAGCAGCAATGGATCTGGGAAGCATTTCAAAAGGAGGATCTATCTGTAACAGTTTTCCTCCTTTCAAACTTTCTAGACAACATATGCACAGTGTTTCTTAAAAGACAACCAAACTAATTTTATGTTCTATCAGAACTATGATACTACAGTCTACTAACTCAACCCAATAGTATACATTTTATTAACAATTTGTTTTTATTTTTGAGACAGGGTTTATGTAGTTTAGGGTGGCCTTGAATTTACTACCTATCCCAGGGTGGCCTTGAATTTGTGGTAATCCTCTTGCCTCAAGCTCCCAAGTGCTGGGCTTACAGGTGTGCACCACCATGCCCAGCTTATAAACAAATTTTAATAAAAATAAACACTAGTGAACTAAGTAGTCTACACAAAGAACAATATATATAATCCACAACTATAATTATGACTTGTTATTAAAATTATTAAGAAACAAATTGACAGTTCTCTTTGAATGTTAATGTACATATTATAAAGTTATTTGACACCACAGTAACAAAAAATCCTTTCTATTTCTCAAGTGCACTATGAACAACTCACCAATGCTGGGGGGGCTACCATAGTTAATTGGTGACTCGGGCGGTCTTCCACAGTGCAATGCAGCCAGAGCAGATCCTTTCCACACAACATGCTTGCAGCCTATTAAACATACATATTTTTAGGCATACAAACACAAAACACAAAAACAAAAACAATGTATATATCCTATTAGAAAATCTTACTTTTATTTGTACGTAGCAAGGACTGTCTTCCAGCTCCTAATAAAGTCTGTACTCCAGGAACACTTTGAGGAATTTCTTGCTCAAGAAGAGGTCCTAGTCGGTGACATATTTGTAGTAAGTGATCAGGTGCTAGATGTCTATAATACTTCACCTATTATATGAAAGACAAAAGTATTTGCTATGTAACATGGTATAATTCTTTATATTAAATAAAATATACTCTAAACACATGTAATTTGTTTTGACTAGTGAACATTTTGTTTCACTTAAGGGTAAGTTCACATTTTGTGAAATCATTTGACTCACAGCTTAGGGTAAATAAAAGTTACCCTAACCATTATGTAGCCCACTGAGAAGAAAAAAAATACTAAACATTAATGTAACCTAATGTAACAAAAGTTGTAAATTAACAGATGCTTGTCAATGCCAAGTGAACAATTTAAAATGTCTAGCACTATGTGGTATATACCAATTTATCATTTTATTTTCAAAAATTTTAAGCAAAGACCCATCCAACTAAATTTTAACTAGTTTTGAGATTCTGATGTTATAAAAAATCCACAGAATAATTAAGAATTAACATAAGTGACAAGTATATGTTCTCATTACAAAATTTAAGAATATAATGTGACAGCTATGCTAAATTTTCTAATTTACCAACAACCTTTCAGAAAGAAAAGCACATTCCAACTGTTACTTTAAACAAGTTTCAACTATAAACCTACATTTTAAAAACTCCAAAATGTCTAAAATTTATGCTAGGGTTTGAAACCACAATATGAAATACTTTATTATCTTTTAGTAGATAATATTCACATAGTCTAATCTAAATTAGAACAAAAAATATGCTACTATCTCACTTTATATTTAGCTATCACATTCGCATGTTTCATCATAGTACTCAATTACTCTTGTTTAACTGTTCTCACACTATGTTCTGAAACCCAAAGGGATTCTGCAGGAATAACACTTGAAAAACACTAAGACATCATTTGCTTTTCACTGTTTCCTCATCAGAACGTGACAGAGGCTGTCAGAGTCACACAGATCTCAACAGACCGAACATAAAACACATATGGGACTCACAGTCTTTATTAAACCAACATTAACAATTCACAAAAATGGAAAACTGGCAGTTTTGGAAAATAATTATGTTACTTGTATTAACATGAAACAAATTTATTAGGTTAGTATTTAATAGATTCCTAGTATGTCAAATGTAACATTTCTACTATGTAATGCTAACAGATAACTAACATAAACAAAACAAATCTCAGTAATTTTTATTAGTGTGAAGAGGTACTGAGACCAAGAAGTCTATAAACTGCTGTCAAGTTCACCAAGTAATAGCAATTTTAACATGAATTCCTAGTGGGAGGGCAGGTAAGGAAACAAATCCTTTCATTCCATCTCATATTATCTGTCATACTCCAACTGCAGATCACTGATTCTTTTGGTAAAACTGGTAAACACTGATCTCCAAGCTAGCACCAGTAAAAGAAATCCACCTTACTCTCTATTGTAATTCACTCCCGTCATGAATACAACATGGAGCAATACTATCACAACTTGATAAGGTAATTTGAAACAGCAGTCTGGCATGTAGTACGTGGTCAGTAAGTCATGGCAGAATAAATACCACTAGAAAAGGGAGTCCTAATAAAGTATGCATAACATAAATTCTGCATATGACATCCCTTCTTTAATGCACATTGACATTAAAAACTCTGAGACAACCTCAGATAAATCTACTTTTGTTTAATCTATTAATTTCCCAACTTTTTTAGAAACAGCATCTCATTTCCCCTAGTACTATCTACCACACTTAGAACAGATTTTAGGAAATAAGAATGATTAAACTGATAGAAAAAAAATATTTATTGCAGGGTCCCAATGCGCTGGGAGGCTGGAGAGAAAAAGCTACAAAAAATGGCTTTTGCCCCAGATGGCTCACTTGAGAGGTTAGAATTTGCCTCCTCAGTATTCTATAGCCATGACAAGGAGGAGGCCAAGGAGAGAAAACAAAGAGACTGAGACAAAGCAGCTGCTTTTGCTGCAGCATTAAGAGAAACAGACCCTAAGTCTGATTCTCGGGGCCCCAAGAAGAACTCAACGACTACATTCATCTGCTACCACTGTTAAAAGCCAGGCCATCTCAAGAGGAACTGTCCTAAGCCCCTTGGGCCATATCCTAAATGCAAAGGTGAAAACTGGAGATCGGTCTGCCCTCTGAAGCAGGGGCCCCAGAGCTCAGACCTACCCTATCAGTTAGTCCAACAGCAATGAGGGGGCCTGGGGCATACTCTGCCTTCTCCCTCTGGCCAGACTGTCATCTCCATGGAGGAGACCCGGGTAATCATGACTACAGAGGAAAAAGAAACCAGCCAGTTGCTAGACACAGGTGCAAGTCTCTCCGTCCTTCTTTTCAATCCTGGCCTTCCTTCCAACCGTCACACCTCAGTGAAAGGAGTCATTGGTGAGGAGGTAATATGCTTTTTTCACAACCCTTAGTCTGTAACTACTTGTTAGATCCTTCTTGTGTATCTCTGTCTTCCTGAGAAACTACTTTGAAGATACCAACATGTATTACAGCAGCCACTGATACTTTCCTACTAATCTGTCCATAACTCTGTAATGTTTGTGTTGTTCCTATGCTATTTCATAAATGGATGTATGTTTATTTCTATGTGTTTCCTACGACAACCATTGAGAATAGTCAGTGATTATTCAATTGGTCACTCATGTATAGCTCTATTTATTTTCTTTAGAAACCACTTTGAAGATACCAAAGTATAGTACAACAACCACTGATAATCTTCTACCCCTTTTGTCTGTAACTCACTATTACTTATCTGTTTGTTTTCCTGAGAAACTATCCTGTAGATAACAATATGTAAAACAACAACCATTGATAATTTCCTACCACTCTGTCTTAATTCGGTAAGCCCCCCTATTACTATGTTAGCCGTCTTTTATTCTTTAAAATAATAGTAATAAAAAATATTTAGAACAAAATATGGGTTTTTAAACTTATACTTTTCTCTGATTTCCCTAGTATGTTCTGTAATCCTACTAATAAGATTAATTAGTAAGCAAAACATTTCAGAACAGCTAGGAGAGGATTTTGAAAGTTGTCACCCCAAGGAAATGATAAATGTATCATAAAAGATGGATATGCTAAACACCTTGATAATGTATATAAACATCACACATCTCATAAATATAAAAGTGAAAAAAATTTAAACAAGAATGTCTAAAATGTTCAGAGTATCTATTTGTTTTAAATGTATATATTTTAAAGTAAATTCTTAAAACAGCTCAAAACTTTTAAAAACTTTAACAGATTTACTTATTTTACTTAACAAAGTAAAGTTCATTACTTACTAACTTTGACTGTGATACTATTTTAGCCTCAGCTGGCAAAATATCTTTTAAGGTAGTTAGTCTGAGAATCCTTATTGCAGAATGCTTTTAACAAAATATTATGAATCCACTTTGACTGAAGCTTCCTTTGAAGGTATAAATACTTCAAATCAACTTTCATTTTAAAGTTAGAAGAAATCTTTCAATTCTCAAGCCCATGTTTTCTCTGACTTCTGAGACTATAAAAGCTGATCCCTTTACTGGTAATCTTCTCTTTACCCAACCATTTCCACTATTCAGTCTCCTTTGTATCTCAAGCTATGCGCCTCACTGCCTTCCATGACCCATGCACACTACCTCTGCCCTCTCTTTTTTGTACATTCTATCTTTGTGTTCCCACACTACATTATGCTCCATTTCAAATGTCCGCTCATCTCCAAACATTCTGCAGTACTCACTCTATCACATTAATTGTTCTTAATATATTTTGTTACACTTAACTTCAGGGGAAATCTAGTAATTCTGATCATCTCCAAAGAAATTTCTCAAGGACCTACCTCCATCGAGGGGTAAAGACCCTTGCACTAACATAAAAATGCTGGTTAACTTGTCCTATGTAAGAAGATGTAAGATTAGACCTTGTTTATCTTGGTCTACATGGTACCTATAGTGTAGTACTTACAGTTTAATGCTTAATGAATTATTAAATGAGCACACAAGAATATGTAACAATTACGGACTTCTCCATTCTCAAAACACTTTATTACTACCAATCAGAAAAAGAAAGTAGAAATTATAGTTACACAGTCTATGCTTTATTCTAATGGTTTTAATCATTTCTTAAAGGCACAGAACACACTTCCAAACAAAACTGTGGACAAAAAAGATGAAGTATTTTCTTGTAGGGAACATATCTCACTACAGTACTTGACTACATGCTTCCTCTTAGCAGTTGCTAAAATAAGGCAAAAGGGTCTCTGGAAAGAACAAGAACAGGCTAACAATTCTTATCCTCTTTCCTAAGAGATCAACTTCTGAGTCTTCTTCCCTACCTCTCGTTTTGTCAGCTTACACAGAGGAAGAAAGCTGAAGCTGTTTGTTTTCTCCCCTATCAAATCTATAAAACTACACCGGTACCTGTCCTGTTTCTTTCTTAAGGTAACTGTGCCTCTTAGTTTCAGAGATCTAGTTCTTCTACCTATGTTTTGCCTCCTAACTTCACTAATTTCATAGAAATACTAACAGATTAACCCTCTACATTCCCTTATGTTCACTAACTCTTCTCAACTAGCTTCCATCTACACCTATATTTAAATCGCTCAAATTGCTTCCATTCTGGGGAGGAAAAAATCCTGACTGGCCTCTACCTGTGATCCCCTCCCAACTCTAATGCCCCAGCTACCACCTGCCCTTAGTTTCCATCTTCACAAACATATTTTGGGAAGAATGGTCCATTATCAGTTTCACTTTGTCATCCATCCTCACTCTACTCTAGATTAGTATTTGCCCTCTTGACTTTCCATACAAAAAAGCTTGTACCAAAACTTCACCTTAACTGTTGATAAAACCAACAGATATTTTAAAATCCAAACCTTACTTAAGTCTTAGTAATCTCTAACCCTGTCATACAAGTTCCTCCCTTATAAACCCTGTCTCATTTTCTGCCATGCTCCTTTGCTTTCCCCCATCTCCAACCATTCCCTTTTTCTTTTGCAGGCTTACACTGTACTCTTCTACTTGGCCTAGATGTTGAAGTTCCTTAAAATCCTGTGCCCCAGAGGCTGGGTC